TAATATTACTTCTGGTGAAAATTTTCAACACCAATTAATTAATCATTGAAAATTTTCCATGGCTGATTAACTGGATAATCGGTAAATAATCGTTGAATATCATTCAGCGAATACAACCACTAATATTACTACTGAATCTAAATAAAATCGTCAAACTTATTGCCATTGCTTTCGATCTGGAATCAAACAGTGGGAGGAGCTAAAGCATTCCAATTATCCTTCAAACTTAAATTTGCTACTGAAATAAGTGATTATGGATTTCAAGTTGGTAATGATCAATTTTGTAATACTAGTGTCATATTTCAATCCTAGGTGATGGAGCTTATTTTGATATTTTCCAAGATGTCAATATGTTGTTAAAATCGAGAAACCTGCTATGTAGATGTGGATTGTAATAATATTCTTGCAAGACTTCCTAGTTTTGGCCCCAGTTGTGTCTATCGGAACGTAAAAAAAGGTGTTAGTTGAAAAATCATCAGGTCAACTTTTGTGCACCTTACCTTAGTTTTACTATTAGCCCAACAAGAGTTTGTAATATTGCCACAGCGATTTCATTTGCTCTCCAATTTGTTCACTGTGCTGGTATGTCCATGTGATTCAAATATAATCATGGTTGATGCTGTCCCTGAAACAAAATGAAACAATATTTTTCATCTGCTAGCCATATAGAACATGACATTTGCCGAATTTACATTGTATTTTTGGTGAATGTTCATGATGATCTTATCAGTCATTCACTAGTTCTCGGAAAGTTACACTCCCATGATCTCTTCATGACAAAATTGACAAAAGTACTCTTAAATCATGTTATCCTTCCAAAACCCATAAGTTGTGCAGGTTTTTCTCTTTTTACATCTAGCCGTGCCTGGTTTTTTTGGTTTTTGGCGTGATCAATGTTTCACCATATTTAGCAAAAATTTGTCATACAGCAAATATTTTGTTTTATAAATATTGCTTTGCAATGCTTCTTTGAATTGAATTGCAAAGCGAAGCAATGCAAGTATGATTGGGAAAAATCTGGGAAGGATTTTTTTGTTTTCGCTGGTGGTAAATGAAAAATAATTTGTTTTGAACTGATCATCAACATGTCACTTGATCCATTCTTTGTGATAGCTCGCTCACCACTTGCGCATGCTCAATTAAAAAAACTTGTTTACATTACATTAATTTATTTGACTATTATATTATTAGAAATCTTTGAGATAGATGAAATTGATAGCTTAAGATAATACACGTATATTTTTACAAATATTTTAATTCATTTTGAAAAGTAATTCATTCTTTACACCACTACACTAATAAAAACTTTTATAATTAATCCTAATCTAGTCAAATCTCGTCACAGAGGACTTCGCCACTGCGGATTTCTTGTTACAACGGATTTAAATATTGGCTTTTTTATTAATTAAAAATGTGTGTCATAACGGATTTTATTAATAAATTTGTTCCACAACGTTAACAGATTTTTGATGGGGCCTTTCTATATGGCTACTAGTCTCATCACAGCAAATTCACGTGACATATGAATTATCAAAATTGATAAAAATAATAATCAAGTAGGTTATTTTTAATCAAAGGTCAATATTAAGATTTATGAGTAACAAATTTTCTAAAATAAAACAATACAAACAATTGATAGGTTATCTGTCCAAACGTTTCCGTGTAACAACTTTTTAAAATAAACCAATAAACAAACAATTGATAGGTTATTTGTCCAAATGTTTGCGAGTAACAACCTTTTCCAGCTTCTAAAATAAATCAATAAACAAACAATTGATAGATTATTTGCGGTTGTGTTGGATTGAGTACTGTACACTTCGTGCAGCAAGTACTGTACGAACCCATTTTTAATAATGATAATCGTACGTACATGCCTTTTTTGGGTTGGGTATGTACTTACTGTACTCAATCTCTAATTTTTTATGTTCGTACAGTACTTGCTGCACGAAGTGTACAGTACTCAACCTGCGAGTAACAAAATACTAAAAATATATTAATAAACCAACAATTTATAGATTATTTATCCGAATGTGTGCAAGTAACAAATTTTTCCAAGTTTCAAAATAAACCAATTGATAATAAAATCAGTTAGATTATAAATAATTAAAGCATTTAAATCATAGAAAAGAAAAAAGGAAAAACTAATACAACCAAATATTACAACAAATAATTTTAATTTCCGCATGTATTAATTCATTTCTGTATTTTAGATTATTATTATTAAAAATTTTTTGTCTATCATGATCATCACCATAGCGGATTTCTTGACACAACGGATTTTTTGGCTGATACCATAAATCCGCTGTGACGAGGTTTGACTATAGTAGTTAATAATAACAATTCAATTCTAATAATAATCATCAACTAACTTTTTTAAAAAAACTTTTTACATGCATCTTTTGAAAATCTGCCATCTCTCAAAAAGTGTAAATATGGCCCTCTCAAACATCAATGTATAACAGTAAAGACTGTCCAAATACAAAAAGTTAGCCAAGCAAAAAAACTTATCCAACCTTCAAATTCTACTAATACACTCACACTAACATGAACTATAAAGTGCACACTTGATAATTCAATCAAACCAACCTTAGAAGATGCATTGACTTGTATTAACACTATTACTTTTGAGGGAGCAAAACTTTATTTATTAGACAAATTGGATAGAGAGGTGCCAGATCAAATGCCAATAATGGATTATAACCTTAATTGAAATTATTTCAAATAAGGCTCCGAACAGAACAGAACAGATCAGATCTCAGATTCAGATCAGATCTGTTTGGAGCCTTAATTTCAAGCTGTTTCATGCAGAGAAGGATCTCATGCTCCACAAAGAACATCTGATGAACCATTAAATACATTATGTGATAATCATTATGCCAATCAAAGATCTCTGAACATGCAACAGATGTCAACATGTGGAATTTAGCTTATAAGTCTTTCTGCAACCAATATCCCACTAATTGTTGTAACCATGTATCCAGAAATTATTCCACAATGAATTTGTAAATTCATCAATTTTTGTCTCCATAATACACCAGAAATTTGTAAAAAAATAAAAATATTAAAATTAGTTAATTTGGTATATAGGGCACTGGTGTCCAAATATGATCTTAATCTCAATATTAATAATGTTGGTGAATATGTGAAGAACGTAAAAGATGCATCACAACAAATTATATTTTGGAATTATATAATGAAGTTAGAAATTTTGTTGGGGACTTGGATCTTTCAGAGGATGTAATGGGTGGTACAAAAAGCTGTCAGAATTACCTTCCTTTGTTATAAAAATCTTGAAAATATTTGAAGAAAATAATATTTATTATTATTAAAGGGTTGAGAATCTTTGAAATTGTCCTTCAATTTAGATTTTGTACAAGATAGATACAAAAGCACTTTACAAAATCTTAAAATCAATTGGTCATCCTTTTGTAAGAGGAATAAATGAAACACAATTTTGGGATAATGCCAATCATTATTGAAGTCAGATATTTGACATCAACAAGTATGGGAATAGATTCAGATTTTTTGTTGAGACTGATTTGGTTGGTATCAGTATATCAATCTTCAAATATGGAAAGAAGGATAGTCATGGGATAACTAATATTTCTGGAAAAGAGGTGATTGGTCTTGATCCTGGAAGGAAAGACTTATTTGTTGCTGTTGACAATAAAGAAAGAGTTGTTCATTATGGGACAAAAGAGTACAGAGATATGGCTAGGTTTGTGCAAAATAGGAAGAAAATAAAAAGATGGCTTAACCAAGTAAGCCTTTACTATTTGTTAGATCAAAGTTAGTTATTTTATTTGTTAATGATCAAATTAATACATTATAGAATCAAAAAAATCAAAAGTTTACAAAATGCTCTACCTACATCATGTGTATCCACCAAGTCCAACTTCATATTCAATTTATTTTAATTCATTATCATACCTTCTGATCTTTTTATGGTGCACTTTGCTTTTGCAAAATAAATTTTGATAATTATGTTGGCAAGCAACAAGCTCTTTCTAAAATATGTCAATGGATCATTGGTAAACCACAAGACTGGCATTATTCTGATATAGTTGTGGCTTATTGATCTGGTGGATTCTCCTCTTCTTCTCCTGGTTATGCCTCAGGACCAAAAAACAGTTATACCAAGGGTTGAAAAGAAGATGTACCACTTGATTGGTAAATAAATTTAAAACAAGTCATGACTCTTGTATCTGTTTTTAATGCAATATATCTCACTCATCTTTATATTTGCAGATTTCCTCCTCAAAGTGTAAAAATCCCAAAATCCTCAAAAAATATATTCATTAAAGGTATGCAGAGTTTGCAGTAATGAAAATGAAATGTTGTGGAATAGGGATGTGAATGCTCATGAAATATATATATTTATGTGTAAAAATAATGGAGGGAAGGACCTTCACAATTTGTTAGGTCATAATTTATGCTATTGACTTATGGACCTTGTGGATTTCCTAGAAGAAATGGTCAATCTAGTAGCACAATGTATATATACTTAACTGTATGTATACATGGGACAGTTCTGATTTATCAGTTCTGTAAAGTGTAATAGGTTAGTTTTAACACAATCTTTGATCTTATTTGATTTTAATATAAAGTGGAAATGGAAAATACTAATAATTTCAAATTTTATTTTGTCACGTGTTAGAATAACTCTATAATTCGTGGCAGTTATATATAATAGTAATAATAAACTAATATTAACATAATGTAAATTAATTTAATGCTTAATGAGTGAATAAATTAAACTTGTCCCCAAATTCTTTGTAAATCTTGTTTAGAATATGAATTTACGCTATTTGTGCTATTCTTACTATTCCTAATATTATTATTCTTACTATTATTCTTACTACTCCTATGATTACTACTACTACTATTATTATTATTATTATTATTATTATTATTATTATTATTATTATTGTTTGTTTGTTCTAATCTCTCGTCAATACCATCAATATGTAATAAACTACTGCTTCTACCATTATTTGAAATCATACTACTAGATCTTCCTCTACTGCTAGCATAACTATCACTATGTCTACTATGCGAATTTGAAACATCGCTATTTCTTCCCTTTCTCCTTCCCCTTCTCCTTCTCCTTCTATCACTTGTGGTATCGCTATTACTTCTACTAACTACTTCATCACTATTATCAATCATAATTCTTCTAGAGTTACCAAATGAGATATCATTATTTTTTCTATTTTTACTTTCATTGGTGTCCTGATGATGGCGACGACGCCTTCTTTGACTACCATTATGCCTAGTATCACTATGTCTTCGCCTTCTATTGCTGTTCCTGGAACTACTGTGTCCTCTACTGCTACCAGCACTACTATTTGAATATCTACTCCAATCAGAATTATAACCACTACCACCACTACCACCACCACTTAGTCTCCTATCTTTTGTGTATTTTTGTAAACTGTAATGTTTAGTTCTCTTTTGTTTTTCTAAAAATGAGGGATGTCGATCATTTTCCACCAATACCTCAATGGTTACCGCCTCCGATTCTATCGTGTCTCTTGTCGTTCTTTTTGTTTTTATGTCAGTTGCCGCGATGGACTCAAGATGGTAGGACGATGGTCTAAATACATATAATGTATCGTCATCATCTGATTTATTTTTGTAGCCAAAGTATTGTGTAATCGATAATAAAGATGATTTGGTTGTACCAAAAATCAAGAAAACCAAGCCTCCACTTTTATTTATAAGAAAAATATTATTATTATTATTATTATTATTATTTATAAAAAAGAATATTCAAATAAATAATTAAATGAATTATAATCATTACTTACAATAATGATGAAGTGAAATTGCTGATATAATGTGAATGGTCTATGTAACTTTTCGTGTGATGTGATTTTGATTGTTGAAGGATTACTGAGATCATATGGAAAAATAACATCAAGAAGTACAAATAGATAAAGATGATCATTCTAACTGCATGACCAATTTGAATTTCTTCTGAACTTTGATTATTCAGATTATAAGCACTCCATATTTCCCATAAAATGATTGTTGAACGTACTAATAGTTTGATAAATATATAATTACTATATGTGTAAACAAAATACAAATATAATCAATTAAGGAACTTGTGACACTACTTACTTGCGAAAAATAATGAGACGAACGCTAACAAGCCTACGATTAATTGAACCGGCCAATACAAATACCATGTTGAACTAAAATCATAAGCTTCGCATACAAATCTAGTCACCATCACACCCCAATTTTCATTCAATCCTGAGACGATGACCACAATTGTGGTATAAATACAAGCAAATCCCCAAATCGACATTGTAAGTGTCCAGAAATGAGCTTTCTCGATATTTGGATTCATTTTAATCAATCCAAACCATAAATGAAATGTTAAAACACTTGGTAGCAAATATAACGGATAAAAAAAGAATACCGATATTTTTTGCTGAGCAATACAAATTGGTTGGTTAAGTGCTCGATCCAGATTGTCGTAATCATCGCCATAAGTTAAAAGTTTTAATATTGAGGATATACTGCTGCCTAATAATGCTAAGCATACTTGAAATAATGTCCATTTTGTTAAGTATGATGGTGATTTTAGTATTATACCTATCAATAATAACATTAATATTATACTGCTGAAATTAAATAACAGGAGAATCGAACTTGCAAATGTTTGACTCATTATTACTATATTACTAATAATTATTTATTAATTGATTTAATTAAATATTTCTCTGAAATCATTGGTGAATGTAAAAAGAATGTAAAGAGACTAAATAGTATAAATAAATATATTTTAAAGATGTGTCAGACGTTTTAACTGTTGTTAATGTTATTATTCTCGTTATAATTATAATTATAGTTATAATTATATAATTACGTTAAAACGTCTGACACTGAAGAATTGTGATGAAAGTTAATCTTCAAAAAGTAAAATAAAAAGAAAGGATTTTTTTGCCTCCTCCCTCATAAATTTATGTGGAATATTTTCGAATTTATTATGAATATTAATTTGATTTTACAAAATAGGCAAAACATCTATCCGATCATTTGTCATTGTTTATCATAGATAATTAAATTATTGATTGAATGATTTCATAAATTAATTTATTTATTCTTTTTTTGAAAGATAAATAATTCCAAAATTTTATCAAATCGTTATAAAAAGAATTTTTCCTAATACTAAACTAAATGTGATAATGCCGAAATTCAAAAAAAAAGAAAAAATTCCGAAACACAAACGACATTGTTGAAAATCAATTTTTGTCAAAACTCAATTAATGTGTCGAAACTACAAAAATTGTTGCTATTTGTGAATGGAATTTTTAAATAGTCAATAATGATTGTTATTGCAGAAACTAAAATTGTATTATCATTGAAATATCATAATAATAATCTAAAATTTGCAACATTAGTGGTTTTTATTATTAATTATAACTCTATCATCGCTCAGAGCTGAGTCGTTGAAAACTGGATCGTCCAAGTTTACAACATCTTCTATACTTGGTTAATGAATGTTTAATTCTATTACATTATTTTGAATTTCAAACATCTCCATATTCTTCATATACTTCAAGAATTTTATCAATAACATAAAAAGCCTCAATACAAGCTTTTTTAATATCTTTCTTCTTCACTCATTTTTTCACCATAATAATTAAAAGTCTTTTTACTATTAAAAATATAGCAGCAGTGCATTTTTGTTAGATTTGAGTATGTAATCTGGATCTCCTTTGATTATAATACCATATGTGCACAGAGAAAACTCTTTCCGATGCAAATGGAAATAAAAAAATAAAATAAAAAGGAATTAAAATGTATGCACAACTAGTAAATAAATGCAAAGATGATTTCGATTATTAATTTGGCTCTCGGAAAATTATTTGTTTTTGTGGAAAAGGTTATTTATTAAATTAAATCATTTTGTATGTCAAAAGGTTTGCTTATATTGTTTTAATTGTTAGGAGCGCATTACACTTACTATTTAGTTAGCGTGAGAAAGCAAACAAATGAATGTGATGCTTGTCGTAATTATTGTTGATATATATGTGTGTGTGTGTCATAAGCTTAAGCTTATATTATTAGCTTATGCTTTGGTTATTATTAGCAGCAAACTTTAAACTTATAAGCCTATATAAGCTGCCCCAAAAATTTTTTTATTGACAAACGTTTAATTTTTGTGACACAACACTATCAGAAAAATGTCTTTTTCCTTTACGGTTTAATAATTAAATCAATCAGTGTGGCTTTCTCTTTTTTTTTCATTATATATTTAAATTTTCATTCAGAGAAAAGTTAACCGTTTTTAGTGGCAATGAATTTTATTAATACTAAATTTCGTAATTTTTTTTGCCAATACTTACTATTACTATTACGTTTTAGTTTAGTCAAATCGTCAGAATGGCATTAGATCTTGGATACACAAAATTCCGATTGGCTAATCTGAATTTCGCAATGCATTAAAAAATAAATCATACATCCATCAAGAAAGGCAAAGTGGTTTTTCCATCTTTTCGGCTATCTATTCTCAATTGGATTAGGCTTAAATTTATTACAATTTCCTTTTTGTTGTAACAATTAATTTTCAATTTGTTACAATATTTTAGCAGAGAATGCGCGGCGAGCCTTAATATTTATGTAAATCCGTAAAACTTAAATTTTGTCTGATATATTACTAACCAACCGCCTTTCTTACCTTTTAATTTGGACAAGACCTCTCTGATTGCACTTTTCAACCTCGCATACTCCTGAATCACAGAATGGTCGGTTTTTACACAAGAAAAGTCGAAACCCCAAGACCCCAAGAAAACACTCTGCTCATGGCCACATATACTTGACTAGGTGCGAACATATTTTCATAAATGCCGACAGTTGCATGAGATAATAAAGATTCTTGCCAACATTTATTATTAAATTAATATTCGTTGAGCAGGAATTTATTTTATGATTAGAAAGTTGTTGCCCTGCATAAATTACTGAATGTCACGTTTGATCTGCAACAATGTGAATTTCACGCGCGCGTGTGTATTAAATAAAAAACAATTTAAATAATTCTAAAATTGATCATTGATTAATTAAGTCTTATTTCTAACGGATATTTATTATATATAATATAATGATAAATTTTATAAACATTTACTTCAAATCCAATACCACATTTAATAACAAAACACACCAATAATTTGTTTAGCCAAATAATTGATATCAATGAAATTGCCAATAGTGTTATAAATTGCCTTGTTACATGGAGTACAAATGTCTGTTGGATCAACAACGTCACCAATAATGATCGATAAGTTGATTAAAGTGGTGATGTCATCTTGAATTAAGCAAAATCTGTTTGGGCTTCCAACGTCTTTAAACCATATTGTGTCCCTCGCAGGAGAATAGAAAACGACAGCAGGAAATATGATTTCATCTTGATTACATCCGTTTTGAATTGTTATTTGCAACATCCACCACATAAACCATCAGAAACACCTATGAGGGCAGGTTGAAATGTCTCAAGTCCACTTTGTGAATCGATAAGAATACTTGCTCCTCAAATAACATTACCAGCTCCATCACTGCCATCACCTCCTCCAACTCGTCCTATAAGTTCACAACCACAATCGCCACCGCCAATATTATATACTAGCTGCTAGAGTTTCAAATAGACCATTAACACCATCATCACTTCCCCCTGCTCGTGTTCCAACTACTCCATTCTCTAATAATACTAGTAGTAATTCTGATGAATTACCGGCATCAATTGATCTTAGGCCAGGATTATTAGCAATTATTCGTAATGTTGGAGGTGTTCCAGGTACAAATTTAAAAAAAGTATGTAATGCCATGCCAGCATTATATTATTTTTATTTGGATGATTTTTATTATTGTTGTTATTATTATTTATTTATTTATCTAAATTATAATATTAACAATATTTAGGTTAGTAAACCTACTCGACAGTCATCAATTGTGGAAAAACCTATTAGTCCAACAGGTGGTGATTATGAGCATTAGCAAGTGCCATTAAAAATCGATCAACTGCTTTAAGGAATGATTCTGGTTAGTAATTAATATATATATATAAAAATTTTTTTTTGAAGTATTAAATAAAAAGTTGTTATATTGAAACTAATAATAAAACTTTTAAATAAATATAGACAAAGAGGAAAATGACGATGATGAATGGGACAATGATTAGATTATAAAATAGAATTGTTCGTTAAGAGTTATTTACTATATCGATAGCTTCAACAATCTTAATATTAACAAATTAGTATTGATAAATATCTTTATTGGCATTATACAATATAATAATGAAATAACAACTATTTTGTTGTCGTTAATTTAATAAGCCTCTCAAATTTTCTTTTTAATAATAAAGTCCAAAATAAGCTTTAAAGCATCTCTAACAATTCGGAAAATATGATCCAAGAGAATAAAGGAAATGCGTTCACCATTTTTTTAAAATTAACTATATATTTAAATATGAATCAACCTTCTTGAAGAAAAAAAACAACCTCTTACGCTTCTTCAATCTTGAACGCAGATAGTATGACAAAAAATTGTAAGGAAAAAGTCTAATATTATTCTACAGCGGTTAATTGTTTTTCTTAAGATAAATACTTAGTTTTTTTAAAACAATATAGATATTATAACCGGTTTTTTAATAGATTATATTAAAGGTGGCCTTACAAAAAAGACGAATGGTTTGTTAATTAAAGAACTTGAGGAAGATATATATCACCAAGTGATAGAAGTTATTTTTGATCGTTTTTGCTTGATTTAACAATTGATATATATAGTAAAACAAAGGTGAATCATTTAAACAACATGTTTCACGAAGACCTTTAATAATAATATATTAGATCAGAAATTACATTAAAATAAAAATACAATAAAAGAAAAGAAAAATTTAAAAATACACATAAATAAACACTTTATATATATATACTTTATAGTTATATATATATGCTTTATATTTATATATATATATATATACTTTATACTTATATATATATATATATATACTTTATATTTATATATATATACTTTATACTTATATATATATATATATATACTTTATATTTATATATATATACTTTATATTTATATATTTACATTAATAAATGAATAAATCAAATAAAAGATAGGTTATTAATTAATCAAAAGAATAAATCAAAATTAGATTATTAATCAATCGGGAGGAAAATTAAAAAAAGTCTTTATGATAATAATAATATAATGATAATATATATAATATAATATAATAATAATTACAAAAAAACTATAGACTCATTGACCGAATCCTCAAACTCCCATATTCGTCATCATCAACAACTTTATTCCTTACTCTAACACGTTCAGCAATACCACCTCTTCCACTTTCTAAAGGCAATCCCTTATAAGTATAACCGACAAATGCCAAATCTTTTCTAGTATTCAATATTTGTTTGCCGTGTTGTTTATCTCTTAACATAGGATCTTTGGGTTTTTTATCACCGTCCGGTGATGCTAAAGGTTTATCGTCAACGATCTCTTCAAAATATCTAGTATCAATATCATGTTTAAGTTCAGGTTGGAATGGTGGTTGTATTGAGGATAAAGTTTCCCAATTAACATCTTTAAACCATGGATGTGCCTTTATTTCTGACGCGTCACCTAGTCCGACTGCTGCTTGTTTTCTATTAGCCATGTAAAGTTCATTTGGTTTTTTTAATTTTGAGTTGGAAAATGTTGAACCAAGTCGATCCTCCTTTTCACAAATTAATCTTTCAATTAAATTTTTTGCTAAAGGAAAAAATTGATAGATTGATTGATTGATCGATCGATTAATTAATTAATTAATTGTGTTATATTTTATTTTAAAAAAATATACATGATATTTATACCTTCGCGTGAAACTCGGGGATGCTGTGGAAATTTTAATGATTGTCTCCAATTAATTATCTTTAATCGAGTTACATGTCGTGACTCTGAAACAAAAGGTGGATACCCATACAACATCTCAAAGAGTATAATCTAAGATAACGTAATGTGATAACAATCAAGTTAGAAAAATTGTTATTTGTATAATCCATTTATCATATGTGATATTATTGTATGAAAAATAAAAAATTATACTTACTCCAAGACTCCACCTGATTATTATTTAGTTCAAACAAAATAAGCAAGTAAATATTTACACTTTATTTATTTATTAGAAGATTTCTAAGCGACAAAAAAGCCCAACTTACCAATCACAACTTTTATCATATCCAGTGCCTCTTATAACCTCTGGCGCCATATAATTATTAGTTCCTACAATTGAAAAAGCCAATTTTTTTCGATTTTTATCTCTCCAACTCAAAATTCTGGTTTTTGGAACACCACCATTCTCGGCATCTTCTTCTTCTAACCATTGTTCCATCAATTTTGACGATCTAATTTTTTTACTCATAGCCTTGGAAAAAGTATCCGTTTCAATATCTACTCCTGTTTTATGTAATAAGTCTCTTCGTTGTTGTTCATAATATGCCGAATCATGTACCCAATGAAAATCTGTTGCAAGGCCAAAATCTGAAAGTTTTATATGACCTTTGCCATCAAATAAAAAGTTATCAGGCTATATTATTGCAAGACGTAATAATAATAGTAATGATAGTATAATTAGTATTATAATCCAAAACAAAATTTTTTTTATACATGGCAAAGAGTAAATTAATAATTACTTTAATATCACGATGAATATAACCCATTTTATGTGCCTCTTCAATACATAATATCATTTCAGAGATATAATATTTTGCAAAATTTTCTTTGAATATTTCCATTTCAATTAGAAGATTAAGCAAGTCACCGCCAGGCATATACTCCATCACAAGATACAAGTGATCTGAATCTTGAAAAGAATAAATCAACTTTACTATCCAATGAGCAGACTCTGCTGCTGCAGTCAAAAGATCTCGTTCGGCACGAATATGACCTTCTTGACCTTTCTTCAGCATATCAGCTTTTCTCATGATTTTCATTGCATACAATATTCCAGTGCCTCTTTCTTTTACAAGTTTCACGACTCCAAATGCACCATGACCAATTGTCTTAATAATGATAAAAGAGTTTATGGTAATCTTTTTTCTCAAAAGTCGCATATACTCCGACTCGAGGTTAAGCCAATCTTGTCTGATTTCCAGTTTTTCTTTATCAGATATTACCATTTTTTCCAAATCTGCTTCAAGTTGTAAACGACGTTTTACACGTCCTGGAGGTTTTTTGAGGATATTATAAAAGTAATTTTCAAAATAAACTTTGGTCGCTACAGATTTCTCTATGGTAATCAAAGATGGAACTATTTCCTGATGAGAAAATTCTTCTTTATGTACATTGCTTGTGTTATTTTTAATTATAACAGTTCCAGTACAGTTTTTTTCGACATCAAAACCTTTTGAAATTTTGGATAAAGTTTTAAATTGTACCGTAGCATCTATGAATATGTAGATGTATGTAAGTGCGTGCATGTATATATATGTATTTATGTAAGTAATTATTAAATTAACATGCGTTTAATATATGTATGTATTAATTGACTGATTGCTACCTGGTAATTTGCTATTGTTTGGATTTTCATTCCAATAAACTAAAAACTCTTGGGCTTGTTCTTCACTTTCAGTATGTATCAGATGCCTATAATTTATGTTTTCGAATTAAGGATTAAATTAAAGTTTCTGAATTTATTTATGCCAATGATAATATAATGATAATGGTGGTAGTGGTAATAGTGAAATTTAAACTAGAATACTTACTCAAAGTCTTTTGGTGAGGAAATATCATCTTTATTAAAACGTTTTTTCATAAATGTACCAAATTGCAAAGGAACTGTAGAAATACATATAAAAAACAATCAATCAATTATAATTTCATTTGAAGATTGTTATAATGATTATTATTATAATGATGATGATAGTTGCCATTCATTCTTGATGCGACATAGTCGAGCATTTCATAAAAGCGTGGCGAAGTTATATTATTAGCATTATTATATTTATTTCCAGTTGGAGATTTTGTTCTTTGTGGATTATTATTATTATTGGTATTATTTGTTGATTTTTTCTTAAACATGATTAATTTTAAAAATGTAGCAGAAGAATAAAAATGTTTAAAAAATAAATGGATTTTTTTTTTTTTTTAATATTTAAAATTCTTCCCCCATTTAAATCTAGGATTTGTATTTATTTTATTTATGAATATAAACCCCGATTTGGAAATGATAACCTTAATGTGTTACTATATGACGCTGCAGGCATACCTATTACTATTATTACAATTACTATCTTTTATTTGTAATAAAATAAAATAAAGGAGAATGCTTTTTTTAGTTGAATATAATCGTTAAATAAAAAAATAAAGAGAATGTTCATTATACCCCGATATAAGGGTTTTCATATTAATGTGCCGAAAATTCCGAATGTCCGATAATACAACAAAAATAAGGTTACATTTCACACCCTGAATTCTTGGATTGTGATTTCTATTTATATTTATCGGTCACGGGAAGTGTAATTGCATAGCGCACATTTGTTCGAAAATAAGATCTCCAAAGTTACACATAACTTTCTTTTGCTAAGGTTATAAAAATTGATTTTAAAGTTTAAAATAATTTATTGTATGTCTGCCAATGAAAATTGGCATTCCGAAATTTCAATTATTGCATTTTTAAACTCAGAGTATGGAAATTATGGCATGTCTGTGGAAAAAAATTTTTTTTAATATATAGTAAACTCGTGAAACTTTGAGAACTTTAATGTGTCACTCCTCCATGGTAACATGGCATATCAACAAAATGAAATCATAGAATTGTAGAGAAAGGTCTTAGCTTTAATTCTATGATTTGTTTTTTTGGTCATACATTTCCATTTTTGGAGAGGATATAGGATCTACACAACCAATAAAAAGTTCAGCGACTAAGTGACTTGCGACTATAGTAATAATAACAATAAATTTTTAGTTTAGTAATTAATAGATAAAGCAAATATTAATATATTTATTAATAATTAAAAATATTAATTATTGCTATTATTTATAGTAAAGTTACAGTAGAATCAAGTAATTTGGGTCTTTTGAATGATTTATTCAAATAATGTTTATCAATCTTATTGATACCCTAAAAGCAAATAATTTTAATAATAACGTGACAAAATATGGAACAGTGTGAGCATTTTGTGTGTTTGTGGTATAATGCATTAATAATAATAATAATAAAATACTTACTCCAATCCTTTTGCTACAATTTGAATTGGGATTATCAATAAGTTTATCATTATTAATATACAAACTGGCAAAGTTCTTTTTCAAGTTGATCTTTGTTTCGAATTTCTTCTATTGGAGTTGTAAATTCGTGATTTGATCTGTATTTATGTAAAACGTTCACCCAGAAAGTAGTGTTCTTTTTTGTGGTTTCCGGAATGCCTGAAGGTTGAATTTCTTTTAGTTTGTTCTAATGATGGTACAAAGGATTCTGTCATTTTAATATTTAAAATCATAAAGAAGTCAATTTATTAAAAAAAAAACTATTGCATGCATCGTCATGCAATAATCACATCAATAAATTGACAGAATGAATTTAATCATCAGCTTGTGGCACATTAGTGCCACAAGCCAATAAAAGAATGTCATTTCATTCTGATTTTTCCATTATTGCATGCTCCGCAATAACTACCATTTATTATTATTACCAGATTCGGTTATTGACAATTATTTGTTTATTAAATAAGATCATCAAAGCACATGATCTTTCTAAATAAACTTGGGTGGTAAAAAAAACAAACAATTGTTATTATGTTAACGATGACTATTACAAGTACGAGAAGATAAAATCCAAGAAGATAAAGTGTTGCTTTCTTTTTTTTTATTTTTTAATTTATTTATTTTAAATATTTCCTCCCTCCCTCAATTAACATTAACCTATATAGAGTTAACCTATGCCACCATTTGAATGTATCGATGTTTCCTCGCTTAGCACTACAAACTAACATTAATTAATTTACGTATTTGGCTAATTGATCATATTCATACTTATTAAACGAGAGGCAGTGAAACCAAAATCAAGAAAATGGCGAATATAAAGAAATATTTTCGTGTAAATGTTCTTCGATATGTTTATTTAAATACCTTTCATCATAATCTCTATACTAATAATACTAATGCTAAATTTAGTGTACCTTGTGTCTAACTACATTTGTCTGTTCATTTATGCATTATACAGTTCACTCTCTCTGTAATGGCCCGCCTGATTTGGCAAAAAAAGGCCGTTATACGGCGCAGATCATCTATGATCATTAATTGCTTATAGTAACAATTGGTCAACTTCAAAGTACTAAAACAAAAAAAAATTATATCATTTTAAAAAATTTAACCAATAAGTTTTATTTTTCATGACTCAAGCTTCAAAACTCATCGGCTGGTTTTTTCTTAAACTGAAAATTGGCAGAGCCTTAGCATTTTGAAAATTCCGAATTTTGTTATACATTTA